AAAACTGAAACTCCACCCAGTGTGATCATCAGGTAAAAAATCACATTATTATCTTCATCTTCCTTTGCTGCACTTTTGACATCAAAAGAAGCAAAAGCCTCTTTGGGTTCCACAAGTTTAACAATCACTGTAGCTGTTGCTGAGAGAGAAACGTTGCCATTGTCTTTGACCAGTATGACCAGTTTATGCTCAGCTTCATCTGTCTCTGTGAATGAGCGAAGCGTTCGGATCTGTCCTGTGTAGCGGTCCAAACCAAAGAGGCTGTGGTCAGTAACTTCCTGCAGTGAAAACAGCAACCAGCCGTTATATCCTATATCAGCATCATAGGCTCTGACTTTAGTCACCAAGTGTCCTGCGTTCACATTGCGGGGAATCTCCTCCACACCTTCAGCAGAACCATTGGAGCTGACTGGATAAAGAATGACAGGAGTGTTGTCGTTCTGATCCAGAATGAACACGTTCACCGTAACGTTGCTGCTCAGAGATGGTGTCCCAGAATCAGTGGCAACAACTTGGAACTGGAAAGTTTTTAAAGTTTCAAAGTCTAAGCTTTTTAGGGCCACGATATCTCCACTCTCTGAATTTACATTGATAAATGAAACTATAGCATTCTGCCCTGATGTTTTTAAGATTCGGTAGGAAACTATTGAATTACTGGTTTCATCATGGTCAAACGCATTTACAGAAAACAAAGAAGTTCCTGGAATATTACCTTCAGTTACATAAAATGTGTATGGGCTTTGTGAAAACTTAGGGTGGTTGTCATTTACATCCGACACCACAACATTAATTGTTTTTTCACTGAAGCGTGGTGGTTCACCTGCATCCGTTGCTCTTACTGTTATTAAATAATTCGATTGCCGTTCTCTATCCAGATGGGTTTTGGTAACCAATGCATACATTCTGTCTTGTAAAGATTGTGATAAAATAAAAGGGATGTCATCATTTAATGTGCAGGTGACCTTTCCATTAAGACCTGAGTCTAAATCATTGACACTAATCAGAGCCACAGTGCTTCCTAATGGGGAATCTTCAGGGATCAATTGTGAAAATGAAGTAATCTCAATCTCTGGTTCATTATCATTAACGTCGATTATTTTGATGTTAATACTTTTTTGCGCTGATAGAGGAGGGGTACCTTTATCTGAGGCCTCAACTTCAAGTTGATACCTATCTCTTGCCTCGTAATCTAATAGACCTTTTACAATTATCTCACCTGTTGCATGGTTAATTTCAAAAAGTTTAAAGAATTTACGATTTACACTGTTGCTAAAAGTATAAATCACTTCCCCATTTCTTCCGCTATCTAAATCAGTCGCATTTACCTTTAGTACGGTTGTGCCAAGTGGACAATTTTCCTCAAGCATTACTGAATAAGCATCTTTCGAAAAGACAGGTGCATTGTCATTTGCATCCAAAACGTTTACAATGATATCAACTTCGCTAGATTTAGGAGGTTTCCCTCCATCAAGTGCAGTCAATACTAAAGTGTGCCTTGCTGATATTTCTCTATCTAATGACTTTTGAACGATCAAAACAGGTATTTTGCCATCATCTCCTGTGTCTTTAATTTCTAAGTGAAAGTGTTCATTGGGGCTAAGTTTATAACGTTGAATAGAGAAAATTCCTCCATCTGGATCGCGGGCAGGCTGCAATGGAATACGCACTCCGGGCAGCGCTGACTCAAAAATTTCCACAGCAGTCTCATTCTCAGGGAAAGCGGGAGAATTGTCATTTATATCCAGCACCTCAACACTAACATAGTGAACCTCCAATGGATTTTCCAGGACAGTTTTTAGATTTATTTCACATCTACTGCTATGTTTACAAACCTCCTCTCTGTCTATTTTTTTTCTCACATAAAGGTTGCCATCGTTTGGATCCAGGTGAAAGAGAGCATCCGTCGTGCTGGTAACAATGCGATACTTTCTGCTTTTCAGTATGGATTTATCTAATCCAAGTTCTTCCGCTACGTTTCCAATCAGAGTCCCTTCTTTAATCTCTTCAGAAATTGAATACCTCAATTGCGCCGTGGTTACGCCCAACAAAAGCAAAGCAGCCATAAATCCGATCCAAGGCTGCCTCGTCCATGCTGCGTGCAATCCTCTTTGTTCCATCATTAAAAATGTAATATCCATCTGTTCTATATTGAACAATCTTAAAAAACACAAATCAATACATTATAAATCCAATAACATCTCCGCTCCTCCACATAACATTTGCAATATCCGGGGAGAAATCCAAGTGTTATATCCAACACAAAATGATAAGGAATTAAAAGAGGTGGAACTACAAAACAGTGACGACGATGAAGCCGTTTTTAAAAAAAGCACACTGACACCGCGCGATGGTGGGGGAATACTGCAATAATTGCGCGTTGATATCTCATTTGAATATTATATGTTTTGTTTTGTTTATTTGTTCGGCAGAAATAATTTTATCTAAGTTATTTATTGCGGATATATTGGGAAAAGTCTCTTTGAGGATTCGGGATGTAGCCTATACATTTTATCTCTATCAAAAAGTGCCCAAAACGAGGATTTTTTAAAGTTTGATACGTGTAGTAGAAATGGGAAGTCTGTCAACTTCGTGGAAGGCTTAAAACTGTAATCTTGCCCTTAAACATACAAGACTCTCAAAGATAAATAATGTTCCTCAGGTATTTATATTTGAACGTTTATATATAGGCCTACGTTGTATCTTTTTAAGTATGTTAGTTAAATTGGGCCAACTGGAAAAATGAGCCACCGAAGGATTAAGAGTTATAACTCTCTAAATGTGTCAGCCAATGGCCGCAATTTATTTCAGATTTTTCCCTGAGCTGTACTTGAAACTGTTTTTTGATTGGTCAGTTATAACTGTAGTGGGTGGGAAAATACGTGGCATTCAGCTTGGTGAGAAGAATTGAGAGTTAAGAACCATGGCAGACACATATTTCATTAAAATGATAAGAAAAACTGATATATATTTTTTAAAAAAAAGGTTATTTGCTTAGGTAATATATATGTAATATATTTTTGCAATATATTAAATATATAATACACATATATATGTATATATACATACATACACACACACACACACACATATATATATATATATATATATATATATATATATATATATATATACCGGTATATATACACATATATTGTACAGTCTATGCCCAGCTTAAGTCATACTGTCAAGAGGACAAAGCCTCTGTCCACGAGTAATGAACATCTTTGGCACCTTGTCACCAAGGCAAAGCCATTGAAGAAACTTAAAGGATAACATGCCCTGCAGAGCATGGAAAGTAGTCTAAGAATACCAAAAAAAAAAACAAAGGGCTACCAAGGACTGGATGACCTGTAGTAACTAAAGAGTCTGGTTGCACCTGACCTGTGGAGAGGAAAATGGCATCCATGATGAAGATGGATTCTTCTGTAAAGACTGCCTCTAAAAGCTTGCTCTTAGAAGACCAAGAACAGCCCGTTACAAAACAAGCATCAGCAGTTTCAAAGTTTTCACTGTGATTTTATTCTAGTGTTAAAGTAATGAGTTCTAGTTTTATTATTATTATTATTATTATTATTGCAAGTTTTTTAATGACTGCTTCATGAATTATTATGTCAGCTTTTGAAAGTAATATCATATTGTTTATTACTTTATGTTTGTGCTTTGGAAGTTAGCATGAAATGGTGTTAAAAGGAGTTTAAGTTAAAATACATTTAATTGTTTATCAAAAATTATTGTGTTTTACTTTGCTTTTTGAAAAGCTCATCTTAGCTTAATGGGTGGCCCACTTTCCCTGAATACTCAATATTTCTAGATTGTTGGAGAGCTGATATTTCAAAAGCTATAGGACCTGAACAATTACATTTTGTTGCAAAAATTTGAAACAAAGGTATTAGAAACAGTCAACATAAACTGCAGAAACAGACTTCAATGTCATACCATATTTTTTTCTTAGATTTGGAAGTGATTTACCAAAAAGTGGCCCAATTTACCTGAAATCACCCTCGTCAAAGAAGCAAGCAATTAAGTGAATAAAGAAAGAAACAGAGTAAGAAAGAGGTATATAAAAAAATCGTGAATAAAAAACAAAAACCTCTCTTTTTGAATAAATGGACAACTTTTAGAGCTTGAAAATCCATCTGCAGGTTACTGCCAAAGATTCAAGATAGAAATAAATGTATAGAGCTCCCTTAACTCTTCAGATGTTCTCCTGTCAGGTAGTACTAAGATATTGCAGGGCTTCCACTCACTACAGATGCTATACTCATTCTGGTTCCAACCAACATGTATCGTTTGTCTCCTGATCTCTACTGGATGCTGGTGTTCCATCATAAATCGTTTTGATATTAAGAATATAGTCTGATGATTTAGCCTACTGCATTGCTATCAAAATGACACACATGATAAACAAAGCTGAAAGTCCAGCTAGCATGATCATCAGGTATAAAATAAATTTATTATCCTCATCACTGTTTGCTGGACATTTAAGATCTGATTCTGCAAATGCTTCCTCAGGCTCCATAAGTCTGACAATCACATTAGGTGTTACTGAGAGGGAAACATAGCCATTGCATTTGAACAGTATGGTCAGTTTATGCTCAGCCTCATCTGTGTCTGTAAGAGCGAAGTGTTTGGAAATGTCCTGTGTAGCATTCCAAATCAAAGTGACTGTGGTCAGTGATAAAAATGGAGCACCCTCACCAACTGAGCAGATTGCTTTTCCATTAAGACTACAGTCATTGACACTCATAACACGAGAATCTTCATGTGCTAAACTGGAAAATAAAGTTATTTCAATCTCAGGTGCATTATGCTTTATGTCAATTATTTTAATTATAACATTTTTTTTCCGTTGTTAGTGGAGCGAGACTTTTATTGGATGCTGGAATTTCGATTTCATTGTTGTCTTTTTGCTCATAATCTCCAAGCACTTTGACAATTATCTGTCCCGTAGATGTGTGGATTTCAAAAATATTAAAATATTGCTACCCAAACTGTTATGACTGTGGCAGTCCTTTCATAAAGCAGATTTAACAAACTCAGACTCAAATCTGCAACTCTAAATTGATCAAGCCTAAGGTTGGGGAGCCTGAGTTTTCAGTTTCACAACAGTTTCTATGAATTAGTTCAATCAACTCTAAGTAGGTCTCTTAGGTTTATCTTTTTTCAGAAATCCTGGCTCCAATTCAAAAGATTCAAGTAAATTAATACATCCAATATTACAAGCCTCCTAGATTACATGACCAAAGTGAAGAACTAATGAATGTAATTATTTTATTAAAAGATTCCCTCACCATCTGTTTGCAGACCCACATTTTATATCCAAGACCATAACTCCTGGATCATTTAAGTTATTTCAAAAATCCAAATGTACCACAAAGCAGAGAAAATTACTTGAAACTCTACAGTTCAGCTACTGTACCGCGTAAGTTTTCAGCAGCGCTTTGACCATCCAATCACAGACACGATTCAGTGACGCATGAAGTGAAATTCTCAGGAGTGACAGCGGTGACAGCCATTTCCACAAGAAAAGTCACAGGGCCAATCAGGTCTTTGTGGGCAGTGTAAACTCAGGGAAGAAGGCTTCAGCTTGTGTTGTGTTTTATGCTTTTTCCTAGTGTTCAACTAGTATCAGTGTAATACAGCACTGCATAGTTTTTTTTACAGTAAAATGTGCAGGGCACGTGTCCCCAGTGCCGTTCCCCCAAATTACATCTAATGATAAATGGTCATTATTAGCAGATATCCGTCCTGTAGAATGGCTTCAGATTGTGCCAGTAGGCTAAGTAAGTTGTTATCACCGAATGAATCTTAAACCTAAGGTAGTAGATATTAGTATTGAGTGCACCAAAGCTTTTATGTTTAGCTGGAATTATTAAACATAATATATACTATCCCAAAACTAAGAATATGTTGGTGTTTTACCTAGAATAAATGTATGGAAAAAATTATATTTAGATATCAGTAAAAAAAAAAAAACAAGTTATAAATGTTTCTGAGATATTATATTGATTTCATCAAAGACTGAGAAAAAACATGTAAACAGTTCCAAAGTTATTCTGTTTTAATTATAGTAGATTAAAATAAAATATGTATTTTTTGCTTCCCAATGATATTTATTTTAAGGGCTTTTTACCACCTTCCCTTGAATACTTTCCATTGAAATGTTTGTTAGCAACTCAAGTGATATTTTCAATTAAAAGAGTTTGCCCAAGGACACAAAAAACACTGTACCACAGACATCTTAAGTCAGAAAACTTGTAACAGCATGTCCAAAACTGTGTGATGCCAAAGTAAAAAATGAAGTGAACGATAGCTGTAAGAACTTATTTAAGCCAAAAACCTAAGAGCATTGCTTACCCCTTCAGATGTTCTCCTGTCAGGTAGAACCAACGTGTTTGTATGGCTTCCAGGTACTATAGTAGATCCTATACTCATCCTGGGCCCAACCAACATGTACCGTTTGTCTCCTGATCTGTACTGGATGCTGTGACATAGTGTTCCATCATAATTAGTCTCCTGAAGATATTTAGAAGTATAGTCCGTGGATTTTGAGCACTGCATTGCAATCAGCACTGCAATACTAATGATAAAGAGAACCGAAACTCCGCCCAAAGTGATCATCAGGTAAAAAGACACATCGTTATCTTCATCATCTCTTGTTGTACTTTTGACATCAGAAGCTGCAAAAGCCTCCTTAGGCTCCACAAGTTTAACAATCACAGTAGCTGTTGCTGAGAGAGAAATGTTACCATTGTCTTTGACCAGTATGACCAGTTTATGCTCAGCTTCATCTGTCTCTGTGAATGAGCGAAGTGTTCGGATCTGTCCTGTGTAGCGGTCCAAACCAAAGAGGCTGTGGTCAGTAGCTTCCTGGAGTGAAAACAGCAACCAGCCGTTATATCCTATATCAGCATCATAGGCTCTGACTTTAGTCACCAAATGTCCTGCGTTCACATTGCGGGGAATCTCCTCCACACCTTCAGCAGAACCGTTAGAGCTGACTGGATGCAGGATGACTGGAGCGTTGTCGTTCTGATCCAGAATGAACACATTTACTGTAACATTGCTGCTCAGTGATGGAGTCCCAGAATCAGCGGCAATAACTTGAAACTGGAACGTTTTTAGAGTTTCAAAGTCAAAACTTTTTAGTGCTACAATGTCTCCAGTTTCAGAATTTATATTAAGAAAAGAAATTATTTTCCGGTCACCATTTCCATTCCTGATATGGTAAGAAATATGAGCGT